CTCATCATCATCATCATCATCATCATCATCATCATCATCATCATCATCATCAACAGGAGCAACCGAAGCAACAACACGCATAATATTATTATCTATGTACCTTATGTATATAATGTATGCATGTTGCTTTTTTTTCAACAAATAACAAAAAAAGAGTTTGTCACCTTCCCTCCCACCTTCAGGTAATCTCCGAAGTACGTAGCGTTGGTGCCTCCAGTAGTTCAACAACATGGGTGCTACCAAGGTAGACCCAAACGAAGGAGGAGGGGGCGGCGGTGGTGGTGATGGCTGCAGCTGTAGCCGGGCCATGGCCAGCATGTGGCTCATTCTCTTCAACATTTTATTCGCGGTGAGTTCAAAGTAAACATTGGCATAATTTTCAGCGTGCATGCGACACCATTACACGTGGCATCTATATATAAAAGTGGAATTGGGAGGCTTTGTGCACAAACTCCTCCATTATTGCCAATCCCACACCTTTGAAACTTTGCAGGCGTCCACAGCATCCAGGTGGCTAGGACCTAACTTTTAAAAATCAACGCAAATCGCTTTCCTCGATTTGTCCTAAATTCTTTGTTTCGTCCACACAGAGATCTAATATTGGGAAAGTCGGTCTTCTAAGTCGCCGTTGTAAACAAGCGAGGCTTCCGTTCACTTGTTGTACGCCAGTTGATTCCACACCTTTGAAATGCTGGAGCGTACAACCACGAAAGCGAAATAGAGATTGAATCTATACATTATTAGTAGTATATATTTGGCAATTTCGAAACGCATGTGTCACTTTTCTCTCAAAATTTATAGCTCCATTCCAGTAAGGCAACGAATTTCAGTTGATGTTAATGCACCGATCATTCTTTTCATCGAAAGGCGTCCCAGCTAGTAGATTATAATGTGTCACGATGCGGTGGAATCAGGCGTTCGTCAATTTTTGGACATGTGGAGTTATTAATTAAATCATGTTAAAGGTCGTTCATTTGTCTTGCTTTTGATGAAAAAAAGCACTACTGTCTTGAACAGAGGTCGAGATATTTGCGATTAAAGGAGGTGGGGGTCGCCTGGTTTTAAAGGTAAATTAGCGAAAAAATGGCCTCCAACATGTGTTGATTTTCCAAGCTTGAGAGTCCTTGGAAACTGAAAATTTGCTTTTGTTGTGCCTTTAATCAACGTTTTTCGGTAAAATCCACACATAAATTTGTTTTTAAATAGACATAAAACGTAATGAGTAAAGATACAATTCGAAAAAAAAAAAGTCAAACTACCGGGAAAAATGCCGCGCCGGTATCTTCGATTTCATTATTTCAACGAGCGCCTGATTTTACCACGCTGCCTCTCTTAAAATTATGAAGTTTATGAACCAAGGCAAGACTGTATAAGTCTAGTGCTGGTCTCCTTTCTTAAATAATGAATGAATGGCTGGCGGGTGCTCTGGTGTGGTTTGCTCCTTCCTTCCTATCAGACATCTATAGTACCCTCGGGGCAGCGCTATTGACTGAAGTGTCTTTTGGCCATTCACAAAGGGGGGACATTAACATGTTCTTATACTCAGTAGAATCGGCACTTACATGAGATCTAATTGTGTTGCAAGTGCCCTAAAACTCAAACTAAAACTAAAACTAAAAAGTAAACATTGGCTTAACTTTCAACGGGCGTGTGCCATCATCACACTTGACTTAAGTTATGACCAATGCAGCACACTAAAGGTCTAGTTCAGGTCTCCCCTCTTAAAATACAGTCGAGTCAAACCTGCTCTAGCGGCCGCCAGCAAAAGACGATCAGCTGTACCAACTGTCTCTTTTCATTCCATCCCTTTCGTAGTCTTTATATTATAATGATTCAATTTAAGACGCCCACCTGTCTAAGACAACTACTTTTCTCGTCGGCAAAGAATGACCGTCGATGACAATTTTGACTGTATGGCGTTAGAATCGTTTTCCGCGCATCACGTCATTGGCATCACGTCATTGGCGAATCACATCATTGGCGCATCACGTCATTGGCGCATCAGGTCGTCATGACTACCACCCATGTTGGCACCACAAAGGACGAAGACTCCGGGTATAATATGTAAAAGGCCAAAAGGGTATTGTACTAGAGCTCGTGGCAGCGACACCACCTACGTGAACGAACAGAG